TCATATGTGCCTTGGCCCAGTTTATAACTGCTATTATGGCAGTGAACAGATCCAGAAGTCTCATAGCTTCTCTTATAGTGCCACACGTGTTCTTTTGCAAGCTGATAATGGTGACCTTTATCTTGTGTATCTTCTCCTCTGGAAGGAAAATCTTCATTTGAATAGAGTCTAAAATGAGACCCAGATAAAGGATAGAATGAGATGGGGTTAACTCTGACTTGTCTTCGTTTATAATCCAGCCACGACTTCGGAGGGTTATGGTTGCCCTTCTGATGTCTTTTATTATTTGTTGCTCTGAAGATGCTATGAGTAACCTGTCGTTCAGGTGCGGTAGTAGCGAACCAAACAGTCTACCTTGTTTAAAGGGGAAAACACACAATGCATTTTTAGAAGCAGAGTCAGCTGACCAACTTCTGAGCCATACTGCACGTCTGGTGACAGAGAGTCCCATCATTTTTGTTGACAATTTCACCTCTTCTGATGAAGAGTCAGCCAAAAAATCCGCAGCCATCTTAACATTCCTCAAAAGTTTAACCGGATCCTCTCTGGATTCACCCATATAAATTTTCTCCAAAAGTATCCAGCCAACATCTTTGAGCTTTGGCTACTGAAGAAGCTGAAATGAGAGCCTTATTCTGGGCCGCTGCAGTTGAATTTTCTTTTTATTTAGGCACGATTCCGCTTGTTTGTCCATCGCATCCTGGAGCCAACTGGAATCCCCAATAGGGTGTGTGGTTTTCTTACTTAGCTGTGCAATTGGTATTTCCAATTTAGGAATGGTCTTAAGTTGCTTATCGGGTTCTTCTTTAAAGGGACACTATAGTCACCGAGACCACTTCAGCTCAATGAAGTGGTCTGGGTGCCAGGTCCCTCTAGGGTTAACCCTGCAGCTGTAAACATAGCAGTTTCAGAGAAACTGCTATGTTTACATTTGGGGTTAAGCCAGCCTCTAGTGGCTGTCTTCCGGACAGCCACTATAGGCGCATCTGCAACGCTGGAGGCATATTATGCCTCCATCACGCAGAGCGTCCATAGGAAAGCATTGAGAAATGCTTTCCTATGGACACTTTGAATCCGCGCGCGGCACTGCCGCGCATGCGCATTCCGCTCCGCTGACGTCAGACAGGGGAGCTGACATTGCCGGGGTATAGAGGTAAGGGAGCCCGACGGTGGAATAAGGTGAGTAACTGAAGGGGTTTTAACCTCTTCAGCGCAACGGGAGGGGGACCCTGAGGGTGGGGGCACCCTCAGGGTATTTAGTGTCAGGAACACCGATTTGTTTTCCTGACACTATAGTGATCCTTTAAGTGAAAAAATGTTTTTTAAATGTTTGGATACAAAAGCTTTCTTGGACGGAAATCTCCATTCTCTAATCAGCAACTGCTGAACAGAAGGGTGAATAGGAAAAGATGTAAGCTTTCTTTTTTCCTGAGTACCTGAAGGAGATTTCTCCAAAAACATGAGGCTATAGACCTCCTTGGTGAGTTTAGATAGGTACTGTTCTTGAAAGCAATATTCTAGTCAGACTAATCACTGAAATCTTCGGAAGAGTACTCATCAGACGATGAATCAGAACTAAATTCTGGAATTTCCCAACTCGACTTCTTCCTTTTAGAAAGGGGAGAACCTGGTTCGGTTATTTTTTTAGGGTTTGACTGAGCGGCAGCCTGGGTTGATAACAGAGCAGCTTCCTTTAACTCTAAAAAAGTTTGCTGCAGGCTATTCTGGAACCATGACATGAGAGATAAAACCTCCGTCTTTTTAGCTTCCTCTGAAGCCTCTTTACAGCAATTGCCACACGTTTTCTTTTTGTAGCCATCTGGTAAAGGCTGGGAACAAGTGGCACACATCAAATGCTTCGTTTTCGCTAAGCTTTTCCCTTTTTCTCCAGTTTTATCTGTCTGCTCTATGTTAGACATACAGGAAGAGAAGAAAAGAAAAATTAAAATCTATAATAAAATAGAATTTAATAAGGCATTAAGGAGAAAACTAGAGCAGTCGTAATGGCCTCTGAGTGTGCTGGAGGGCAGGTGAGAGCACACTGCAACAGGATTGCAAGCACCTGGCAAGCAGGGAGTTGCTGCTGAGTAATGTAGTTCCCACGTCCTGGAACGCAACTCTTTTTTCAAATTTTGCGCCTTATTTCTAAGAGACTGCTTCGCGAATGCGCAGAGCATGCCGCAATCTCTAGATGGAACGCAGCCTGTGCAATGCGTTCCATCTGCAGGACCTCTCAACACGTGCGCAAAATGCAACTTTGCCATTTCCGGCACCCGGCTCGCATGATAGGCGGTGTGACGCAACCTGGGCTGTTCATGGTTTTCCCCTTGTATTATGTGTTTCATGTATTGTGCCTGTATATACAGCTGTGGGCCCCCTTCCTTTTGGGAATGTAGTGTCTGTCTGAACCTTTCCCCCCTCCCTTTTTTCTGTCACAGCAGGACGTTGCCACAGAGACATGGCCAGCCCAGTTTAACCTAGATGTTTTGTCCTTTCTCCCTCCCCCTTCAGCTTCTTGGGATTGAAACCCCTGTTGTTTTTGGGTTGGAGACCCCATGTAGGGGTCTGTGTCTGTAAAAGCTGTGTGTACAAAATAAATAAAGTCATTCCTGCTGTACCTCCAGGACTGTGTTTCGTCCAGTTACTGGGGTGCGGGGGGAGAAATGGATGTCTGCTGAATGGCTGAAGGAAGGGAAATAGTGGAGGTAACCGGTCGGGTTACCCGTGGTCCGCTACAGGCAGTATAAAAAAAAAAAAGCACAGAATTAGCCACAGGAATATGACGGACAGAGGTCTGATGAGACTAAAATTGCACTTTTCGGCCATCAAAGAAAATGCTATGTCTGGCACAAACCCAACACATTTCATCACCCAAAGAACACCATCCCCACAGTGAAACATGGTGGTGGCAGCATCATGCTGTGGGGATGTTTTTCTTTAGCTGGGACTGGAAAACTGGTCAGAGGTGAGGGAAAGATGAATGGTGCTAAATACAGGGATATTCTTGAGCAAAACCTGTACCACTCTGTGCGTGATTTGAGTCTAGGACGGAGGTTTACCTTCCAGCAGGACAATGACCCCAAACACACTGCTAAAGCAACACTGAGTGGTTTAAGGCGGTTTAAATGTGTTGGAATGGCCTAGTCAAAGCCCAGACCTCAATCCAATAGAAAATCTTTAGTCAGACTTAAAGATTGCTGTTCCCAAGCGCAAACCATCCAACTTGAAGGAGCAGTTTTGCAAGGAGGAATGGGCAAAAATCACAGTGGTAAGATGTGGCACGCTCATAGAGACTTATCCAAAGCGACTTGGAGCTATGATTGCTGCAAAAGGTGGCTCTACAAAAGTATTGACTTTAGGGGGGTGAATAGTTATGCACATTTACTTTTTCTGTTATTTTGTCCTATTTGTTTGCTTCACAATAAAAAATAAATAAAAAAATCTTCAAAGTTGTGGGCATGTTCTGTAAATTAAATTATGCAAATCCGCAAACAATCCATGTTAATTCCAGGTTGTGAGGTAACAAAACATGAAAAATGCCAAGGGGGTGAATACTTTTGCAAGGCACTGTACACACAAACACATACTGCTTCTCTTACACACACAGAAACGCAATCCATCTCTTACACACACACTCAATGCATCCCTTGCATACACAGAAACACACCTTGCATCCCTTACACAAACAGCTGTGCAAGTGGCCTAAAAAAAATGGAGCTGCTTCACGTTCCCCCAGAACATTGACTTTTGTGACCACCGTTACAAACAGCCGCCAGAGAGCCTGAGCCCATCATCAACCTCATCTGGTTGTAAGTAGGCAATCTAGTATATTATTAGTGGCACTAATCTCTTAAAGGAGCACTATAGGGTCAGGAACACAAAACATGACCCTGTAGGGTTAAAATCACCATCTAGCCACCCTGGTCCCCTCATGCCTCCTTAAATATAGTAAAATCTTACTTGTATTAAAGTCTGGAGCTGCTTACTTTGTCCCTGTTTAATTTTGACCTGCCTGCTGACATCAGGCATCAGACATCAAGTCTGGAGCTGCTTACTTTGTCCCTGTTTAATTTTGACCTGCCTGCTGACATCGGAAGTGGTGGCCTGATCCAATCACAATGCTTTCCCATAGGATTGGCTGAGACTGACAAAGAGGCAGATTAGGGGCAGAGCCAGCACAATTCAAACACAGCCCTGGCCTCCTCATAGAGATGAATTGAATCTGTCCTGGGAAGGATCTCTAACACCTATCTGAGGAGTGCCAATTTTCTCTGAAACAAACAGTGTTTACAGCAAAAAGCCTGAAGGTAATGATTCTACTCACCAGAACAAATGCAATAAGCTGTAGTAGTTCTGGTGATTATAGTGTCCCTTTAAAGGGACACTATAGTCCGCAGAACCACTGCAGCTTAATGTAGTGGTTCTGGTGTCTATAGACTGTCTTTAGACTGTCTTTGCAGGCTTTTTAATGTAAACACACACTGTGTGCAGCACCGGTGTTAGTTCATATGGCAGATCATATGGGTGGGGCATTGTGATGTCACATGGGGGGGATGAGAGGGGGCAGCAAATTTTTATTTTGCCTAGGGCGGCAAAAATCCTTGCACCGACCCTGCTAACATCGAAACATGGGAACAAGATAAGGTGACGCAGGAGATATGGACAGACCCCAAAATTTTCAATTTTTTTTTTATAAAATAAAATAATGATCTATATACTTGCCAGGGTGTGAGGGGGAGGGGGAGACAGAGGGTTAAGGGGGGGGGGAGTCTATTTTTCTTTTTTCTATATTTTTTGTGTGTGTGTATATTGTTAAAGGACCACTATAGTGCCAGGAAAACATCCTCGTTTTCCTGGCACTATAGTGCCCTGAGGGTGCCCCCACCCTCAGGGACCCCCTCCCGCCCGGCTCTGGGAAGGGGAAAGGGTTAAAAACTTACCTTTTTCCAGCGCTGGGCGGGGAGCTCTCTGCCTCCTCTCCTCCTCCGATCCTCCTCCTGGGCTGAATGCGCACGCGCGGCAAGAGCTGCGCGCGCATTCAGCCCGTCGCATAGGAAAGCATTTACAATGCTTTCCTATGGACGCTTGCGTGCTCTCACTGTGAAAATCACAGTGAGAAGCACGCAAGCGCCTCTAGTGGCTGTCAATGAGACAGCCACTAGAGGATTAGGGGGAAGGCTTAACCCATTCATAAACATAGCAGTTTCTCTGAAACTGCTATGTTTATAAAAAAAATGGGTTAACCCTAGAAGGACCTGGCACCCAGACCACTTCATTAAGCTGAAGTGGTCTGGGTGCCTAGAGTGGTCCTTTAACTATTATTTTGCTCCTGACTTTGAAAATAAATAACATTATTTTAACATTGTTCAGTTTTTGCTGCAAGAAAATGATGGTAAATAAAAGCATTAGGATTACTTATTATCGTTCTGAATAAATAAAAATAAATAAAAAAAACTCACCCATAAAATGAAGCTTATCATTCGCTTTATCTAAAGGATCCCTTGTATTGTAAAACAACCAGCCATGTCTGTTTTGATCAGTGACTTTGGACAAATACACGGTTTATAAACTACTAATCGATATGATGACTGTTTTATGATATAACAGAGAACCTAAAGAGACCAATAATTTTTTTTAAAGTATAAAACAAATCAGGTAAAGAGGACATAAGAGCAATAATACAAGTCATCAATGAGAATTCAAATGTATACAGAGACACAGCGATGGAATCAAATGTATTAACCCAATAGGTAAACCTTAAAATACTTCACGACATTCTTTGAACGCATATGCATACAGGAACGGATGCCCAAGGGCCTGATAACGATCTTATATAAGCACCTAGCCTTAGAAACTAAGGAATGGGGCAGCCTTAAATATATAACCCAATGGGAAAGAGATCTGGGGGAAGAACTAGAGGGAGTAGAGTGGCAAGAAATATGGCAGGCCAATCATACCTCTTCGATATGTGTCACCATGCAAGAACAATCCGTGAAAACAATGCTCCGATGGTACACCACCCCCACCCAGCTGTACCATATGAGGAAGACTCCCACGGACTTGTGCTGGAGGGGGTGTGGTATCAGGGGAACATATAGGCATATGTGGTGGGACTGTCCGGTGATACACAATTTCTGGTCGCAGGTTAGAGGGATGATAACCCAAGTCTTTGCCCGAGCCCCAGAGCTAAACCCATGGGTTTACTTATTAAGCAGATCGTTAGAGGGGTGGACCCGGAGGGAACAAAAACTCCTCCATAAAATTACATTGGCAGCACGGCGTGCCATTGCTGCAAGCTGGCTAAAACAAACGGCCCCCACGACACAAGAGGTTCTCAATAGAATTAAGGAAGTGCACCTGATGGATGACCTAACCGCCCGAATAAGGGATACCCACCAGTCCTTTCTGAGGATCTGGGAGCCATGGGAGAATTCCCCACTAGGAATGTAGCGTGAGAAGAGGAATTTGGCCTCTCATGCCCTACCGCCCCCTTCCCCCCCTCTCCCCCCCTTGTATTGTTCTTTCCCTTCCAACTTGTCACCCTACCTTTCTTTCTCTCTGTCTCATACGCACCAACTGCTTCGGTACCTTGCTTCCATGGGGCGCACTGGGCAGATAGGGGGAGTTGATGTTTCCCGCTGACTCTACCGCAGGGACTCTAGTAAGCTTTCTCTAGAACACGATAGGGGTAGTCCGTGAGAAGTAGAGAATGCCATAACGTAGGCAAAGGGGTGGCCACGGTCATGAATGTAGGGCCACTAATGGGGTATAGCCAAACAGTGAGCTGTCCTACTGGGGGGACTAGGCGGGAGGGAGAGATATCAATGGAGGGCCCATCGCCCGGGCGGAGCAGACTGGCTTACGTTTCAGGAATTGGAGACAATTTATATTCTGTCTTTGTTTATTTTTTTGTTCTATATGTTTATCTTGTGTTTGGTTAAACCAAGAAAACTGGCATTGGCAAGGAAAGTGAAAGCGGAAGAACCGGGGGGACTCATGAGCAATTCACAGACTCGGAGCTATGCACAGGGGGGTATAAGAGTGGAGAGGCGATCTGCCCTAGGGTGGATAGTGGGTTTGGCATGGGATGTGAATGTTATGTCTGTACCGGATATGATTGTTACCTCTGCAAGTCAACATACTCTGTCAATGCTAATGGTTAAAATAAAGAATTTAAAAAAATAAATAAAAAAAAATACTTCACAACAGCAGGACATGAAAAGTGCAGCAGTACCTCGCCTGAGATAAAGCCACCACATACCTCACTGGGTTAGTATATTAAATGGGCATCATAAAAAAACATAATCTCAATTAAATTAATATTGTGCCTGGATGTACTGGGAGTCAACTTACCTTATTAGTTTACTTTGTGAACCTTGTTTACAAATTGAAGCCCATGGAGCAACGCAGGGGGGGGAGTGGGCCTTGACAGGGCCAGAGAGTTGGCAGGTGAAGTTAAGGTCAAGGGGTGTGGAAAAGTAATGTCTGGACAGGGGGGGGAGGAGAATAAGGGTTTAAATAACGGCTATTTTGGTGAACTGGCCTTTTTAATCAAAATCACACTTACTTGATACTTGTCAGGTTTGTGTGGTCTGTTCTTTTTCTTGCAGGGATGGCTTCTGCCGAAGAAATCTTGGCCGGTGTGAGAGAAGAGAAGGGGATGGCATGGCTGCAGGATCAACTGGGGGTCCCGAGCACGTCTGCTCCCCCCACTGCGGTGTTAGAGAAGAGACCGACCAGGAGGGCACCTCCGCCCCAACGACTCAACCCGGGAGCACCGCCGGCAGCGAGGAGGAGGAGCCCAGCGCCGCAAAGTGGGGAAAAGGCGGCCCAGGCGGAAGGACGGGCCTCAAGAGTGAGAGTGCGCCGGGCGGGCGCTAGTCGGAAGCCCGCCGGTGGGAGAAGGCCCCGCCGCAAGTCCGCGGGCGGGAGACAGAAGGACAGGGCTGGATCCTGTACAGCTGGGATGGCAGCCAGGCAGCAGGGCCGCGACGGTCCGGAACTTCAGCGCCCCGGTGAGTCCGCCCCTAGTGGCAATACTGAGGGGCAGGAGGATGGGGTGCTTGAGGACAGCTCAACGTCAGCGCCCCCTCAGGTGACAGGTGGAGAGGCAGATGGCAGGTCAGGGACGAGCTTAACCCTCACAGGGAATAGGTCCAGGACAGGTAGCAGTGACAGGGGCAGCAGCGTCTCCGGGCAGACGGGAATTGCGAGGGGGGGTGAATCCCTGCCCTCAGGAAGTTGCCGGGATGACAGCAGAGGAGACGACAGGTCAGCGACAGGAGGTTGCAGGGACATGGAGGAGCCGCAGGGGCTGAGGAGGAAGGAGCCATGCAGAGGGGTTAGAGGCGAGCGGGAGCCCCCTATGGGCCGCTCTCAGGTGCAGCAGGACAGGAGCTGGGCCAGGAGGCGAGGAGTGAGTAGCGAGCGGCGCAGTGAAGGGGACAGGAGCAGCACCCAGAGGAGGTCAGCAGATCAGGGGAGGAGCAGGGACAGGAGCCAGTCCAGGATCCACCGGAGCAGGCAGAGGTCATGCACCAGGGAACGGAGGCTAAGATGTAGGCGCAGTGCTTCCAGTTCATCGGGCGGGAGTTTAAAGGACCAGCAGAGGAGGTCTTACGGCCGGGACGGTCAGGCAGCGAGACAGCGTAGCGATAGTGACAGGAGGAAGGAACGCCGGGAGGAAAGGCGGGTAGGACAACACGTGGACAGACTACCCAGGTTATATTTTCCCGGCAGGTCAAGGAGTGTGACACCTACGGTCCCGAGGAGAGGCCAGGCGGAAAGGAGTCGGCGGCAACAGGAGTCGGCCGGCCACGGTCGGGGGCACTGGCGTTGAGTCACGAAGTACACCACACACTGGGTCCTTATTGGGTTGCTTAAAATCTTTCATTAACTCCTGGGCGGGAGATGAGGGGTCAACCCCACAGTTTGGAAGGGTATGGTCGCCAGAGGACGGGGAAGATAAAGAACAAGGGGCGGAGAGGATGGTGACACACAAGTCGGGTGCCGTCGAAACGGGGGACGGTGAGTCAGGAACCGGAAAAGCAGTCGGGTCTGGCCAACAGGCGGTCAGGGGTGGTGAGATAGCGGACGTGGCACGGCAAAACGTGCATGTGTCCTTCGCGGGACCACTAGGATGTCACCTGAAAGCGGAGGTAAAAGAAAAAATTGGGAAAGGGGAATTCATGGAAATCTTCTCCTTACTTCCACTCGAGGAATTTCTCGACTTGAAGGAAGAGGATAAGAAGGACGCCAAAAAAGAAGAAGAGGAGAAAAAGCGGCGGTATCGGAAGATACCCAAGACTTTTTGGAATTGGCTCAGAGCCTTCTGTATTTTGGCGAGCGTAGTCGGGGAAAAGTACACAGAACGATGTTCGCAGCTGTTTTGTTATTTGGACGGGATAGGGGACGCTTACAGGACTTATGGGGGATTAGCATGGTGGCGGTACGACGAACAATTCCGCCAACGGTTGGCAGCGAATCCTAGTATGAGGTGGGATCAGATGGACCTGCCTTTATGGATGAGAATAATGATGGCCCAGAAAAATGTGCCCTTTCATGGGACGGCCGGTACGGCCACAGGAAGCGCTGTACCGGCCGGACAGAAGAAAGGGTTCTGTTGGCTGTACAATGAAGGGCAGTGCAAATGGGGGGCATCGTGTAGATTTAAACATGAATGTTCCGGATGCGGGGGAAATCATGGAGTCAACAGGTGCTTTAAGAAAGGAAAATCTAACTTCGGGGGTGCAGCAGGGACAACAGCCACGGCAGTGGCGACTGGGAACGTCGCCGGTGAAGGTCGGCGCGATGCTGCCGTGGTTAAGGCAGTACGGTAATCAGGAAGAGGCGAGGTTCTTATGGCGGGGGTTTACAGAGGGTTTTGTTATCCCATTCAAGGTCAAAGGTCCGGGAACCATGTGTGCAAACCTTAAATCAGTCCGGGACCACCCGGGGGTAGTGCGGGAAAAATTAATGAAGGAAGTCCAGATGGGGAGGATGGCGGGGCCGTTTCCATCCCTGCCGATAGAAGATTTAAGGGTGTCTCCGCTGGGGGTGGTCCCTAAAAAGGAGGAAGGGAAATTTCGCCTGATACATCACTTATCGCACCCACGGGGGTCATCGGTAAATGATGATATCGACGCGGCGCTGTGTTCCGTATCCTATGCATCATTCGATCATGCGGTCGAGTTGGTTCGGAGAGCGGAACACGGTGCACTGATGGCAAAGGTGGACGTGGAGGCAGCATTTCGGCTGCTCCCCATTCATCCGGGTTGTCACCACCTTTTGGGGTGCTTCTTCGAAGGGGGTTTCTTCGTAGACCTGTGTTTACCGATGGGCTGTTCCATCTCGTGTTCCTATTTCGAAAAGTTTAGCACCTTTTTGGAATGGGTGGTACGACGGGAGTCGGCTGAGGGATCAATCGTGCATTACCTCGATGATTTCTTGTGTGTAGGGCCGGAAGGATCTGAGCGGTGTGGCCAGATATTGAGGATGGCAGGGGATAAGACGGTTGGCCCCACCTCATGCCTTAGTTTCCTCGGCCTGGAGATTGACTCTGTAAAAGGAGAATGCAGACTGCCCGCGGACAAGCTACTTAAAGGACCACTCTAGGCACCCAGACCACTTCAGCTTAATGAAGTGGTCTGGGTGCCAGGTCCTTCTAGGGTTAACCCATTTTTTTATAAACATAGCAGTTTCAGAGAAACTGCTATGTTTATGAATGGGTTAAGCCTTCCCCCTAATCCTCTAGTGGCTGTCTCATTGGCAGCCACTAGAGGCGCTTGCGTGCTTCTCACTGTGATTTTCACAGTGAGAGCACGCAAGCGTCCATAGGAAAGCATTGTAAATACTTTCCTATGCGACGGGCTGAATGCGCGCGCAGCTCTTGCCGCGCGTGCGCATTCAGCCCAGGAGGAGGAACGGAGGAGGAGAGAAGGAGGAGAGCTCTCCGCCCAGCGCTGGAAAAAGGTAAGTTTTTAACCCTTTCCCCCTTCCAGAGCCGGGAGGGAGGGGGTCCCTGAGGGTGGGGGCACCCTCAGGGCACTATAGTGCCAGGAAAACGAGTATGTTTTCCTGGCACTATAGTGGTCCTTTAAGCTTTGTCAGCTAGTGGACACGGCGTGGCATGCGAGAAAAGTGACTTTGCGAGGGCTGCAGTCGCTATTGGGGAGTTTTAATTTTGCATGCAGAGTGATTCCGATGGGCAGAGTTTTTTGTCGACGGCTGGCCCAGGCGACGAGCGGTGTGTGGTTGCCGAATCATTTTGTGAAAGTTTTGGCGGATATGAGAGCGGACCTGGGGGTTTGGAAAAGGTTTCTAAGGGAATTTAATGGTATAGTGTTTTTTCGGTAGCCGGGAGTATCCTCCAAGGACATAGGCTTGTTTACAGACGCCTCCGGGACAATGGTGCGCCGAGTAGTGGCCGGCGGAGTGGAAGACGAGCTCGCGTTCCTAGAATTTTTGCCGGTGGTGGTAGCGGTGGTGTTATGGGGAAAACAGCTCGCAAACAAAAAAGTAGTATTTTACTCAGATAACATGGCAGTGGTCCAGGCTATCAATGGGTTGTCGGCATCATCTCCTGCAGTGATACGGTTATTAAGGCACTTGGTACTTCTATGTATGGCTAGCAATATAGTGTTCAAGGCAAGGCATGTTCCAGGTTTCTTGAATATAGTGGCTGACGCGCTGTCACGTTCACAGTGGAAACGTTTTCGGGAAGCAGCGCCGGAGGCACAAGAGGAAGGATTGGCATGTCCGGCGGAAATGTGGCAGCTCGGGACATCATGCTTGGGGAGTTCATAAAGAGTTCCCTGGCACCGGGCATCTGGGCAGCATATGTGAAGGTTTGGCACGAATGGGAAGAGTCGGTGGCACAAGTGGGAGGGGACTGTTCAGAGGAACATCGGTTAGATATACTGTTATGGGTGCTGTGTCGACTTTTTTCCAGGAAGGCTTCACCAGCTATGGTTGACAGGCACATGTCGGTGTTGGCCTTCCTATTTAAGTTTAATGGATGGGAGGATATAACGAAACATTTCTTGGTCAGGCAAGCCATAAGAGGTTTTCGGAGGGGTAAGAAATCGGTGGATACGAGGAGGCCAGTGTCATTCGCGGTGCTGCAAGGACTAGTGGAGGCTCTACCGGCATTATGTTACTCCAAATATGAAGTTGTGTTGTTTTCCGGGGCATTTGTCTGGGCATTCTTCGGGGCATTCCGTATTGGGGAGCTGCTTAGCACCAACAAGGCACGGATTGGTGGGATTCGGTTGGGGGACGTGACCGTTGGTGAAGACAAGGTACAGATTAAGTTGGGCTGCTCAAAGACGGACATATTCGGCAAAGGAAGCTTGGTAACATTGTTCAAATTGCCAGGGTCTAAGGTTTGCCCAGTGGCTTGTGGTGCCGAATTCTTGGAAGTCCGCCCCGAGAAGGAAGGCTGTTTCTTCATTCATGCTGATGGTAAGGCTTTGTCCCGTTTTCAGTTCGTTAGGATATTTCGTGCAGGATTGGGTAAGCTGGGCTTGGAACCCATGCATTTCGGGACACATTCGTTTAGAATTGGGGCCGCAACAGAGGCGGCTCGGTTGGGTCTGGGGGACGAGCGGATCAAACCAATAGGAAGATAGGAGTCCATTTGGTTCCGCTCATACGTTAGACCGGACAAGTTGGTGTAAAAGGGGACTGGGGCGTTGATTGTTAAGGGCTCTGCTGTTCACTGTTCTATTTCTTTTAGGTCATTTGGTATGGCTGATCGGACATTCCTACATTTATTGGGCGCGGAGGAGGGCCGCGATGAGAAGAGACGGAGCACAACTGGGCTTCCCTGTGGAGACGGTGGTTCTCACTTGGTTGGGTTTCCGGGGTTTCGGTTGGCAGAGTATCAGTAAGGAACTATTCAATAGGCTGGCATGGGGGTCAGTCCCTAACGTAATTCTGGTTCATGGTGGGGGGAACGACTTAGGCGTGATCCCGCAGCGGGAACTGTTGAGGAGGATGAAGAGGGATCTGGATCGGCTACGTAAGCTGGTTCCTGGCATGGTAGTGGTCTGGTCCGAAATGGTGCCTCGCTTTAATTGGAGACACGCCAGGGATTCGGCTGCGATAGCGCGAAGTAGAGGTAAGGTCAATAAGACCATGGCGGTTTTCGTGAGGCGGATGGGTGGCGTAGTTGTGCGTCACAAGGAGTTGGAATGTATGCTGCCCGGGTATTTTAGGAAGGATGGGGTTCATCTATCCGACGTGGGTTCGGATTTACTTAATTTGGGTTTTCAGGATGGTATTGCACAGGCCCTGTTTTTGTGTGGTGGGGGTCGCTCATGTTCTTGAGGGGGTCAAGTCGTGCTGTGGCGGAATAGGGCCTGGGTTAAAGAGGATTTAGGTGGAATAGGAAGTGGGCAGGCCAAGGTCTAGGCTGGACTATGCCGGAGTGGAAAATGGTTTGTAGGTTCTGGCTCGTTGGTGGCTACGAATCTGGGGGTATAGGGGTGTCTGGGTACACCCCTACAGTTAAACATATGGTTATGGGGCCTCTTTGGTAGGCCATGGGTTAAACGTTATGTATTATTGGAATGTTTTATTAATGTTATTTGGTAGGGTCATTGTCGGGGGTATTGGGCAGGAAGGTCGGACATAATTAATACTTGTGACAATGACCCTAAATTGTTAAATTGTTGAATTAAAATTTTTAATAAAGCTGTGGACTTTATACTCCAACAGAAATGGTGTCACAGAGTTATTTTATTAAGGTTTTAGCACATGCCGAATAACGACTGTGCACATGTCATGAAGCCCATGGAGCAACACAGGAGGGGAGTGGGCCTTGACAGGGCCAGAGAGTTGGCAGGTGAAGTTAAGGTCAAGGGGTGTGGAAAAGTAATGTCTGGACAGGGGGGGGAGGAGAATAAGGGTTTAAATAACGGCCATTTTGGTGAACTGGCCTTTTTAATCAAAATCACACTTACTTGATACTTGTCCCTCCCACCCTCCCTTTGTTTTAGGTTGTCTTGTTTGGTAAGGTAGTTTCCCGTTTGGTCACAGCGGCGGGAATAGGGCCTGGGTTAAAGAGGATTTAGGTGGAATAGGAAGTGGGCAGGCCAAGGTCTAGGCTGGACTATGCCAGAGTGGAAAATGGTTTGTAGGTTCTAGCTCGTTGGTGGCTACGAATCTGGGGGTGTAGGGGTGTCTGGGTACACCCCTACAGTTAAACATATGGTTATGGGGCCTCTTTGGTAGGCCATGGGTTAAACGTTATGTATTATTGGAATGTTTTATTAATGTTATTTGGTAGGGTCATTGTCGGGGGTATTGGGCAAGAAGGTCGGACATAATTAATACTTGTGACAATGATCCTAAATTGTTAAATTGTTGAATTAAAATTTTTAATAAAGCTGTGGACTTTATACTCCAACAGAAATGGTGTCACAGAGTTATTTTATTAAGGTTTTAGCACATGCCGAATAACGACTGTGCACATGTCAAGTCTAACACACAAATTTGTCCAGCTCATGCCCGCTAGTTCAGCTGCTACATTCGCCGTCTTCAATGAAGGAGCCTCGTACTTAGCGTCGTTGATATTCTCAGAGCCTCGGCTGATTCTCTCAGCCTATCACCAACTTCCCAAAAATATTAAAAATGCATGAGAAAGGTATGTACCGTTCATCTGATACTCTTAATCTATCATCACGGCCCACTTCGAAGTTTCCTTATTATAGCCGGGCACTGAGGTAGAAAAAGAGGGGCCGAGCTGATGGGCACCATCTGGACAACTTTGGGGTTAAACAGTTCATAAAATGGCAACCAGAACCTTCACTGAGATGAAGTTGTCAAGGTGCTCTGGAGTGTTCCTTTGTGTTTGTACACTGTATTGATTAAAACAGAATTGTTATGCCAGGGTGTTTGTGTACTCGGAAATTTTACACTAGTGCTTTACCAGGAGAGAGGATCATAGTGCTACCAGTACGGTCAGTGCCTGAGGATTTTTTAGTGATGGATTACACAGCAATGCAGAATTTATACACCTTTTATAAATAGTAAATAATTATGTATGTTTCTTTTCTTTGTATAGTTTCATATTTGTCTGTTCTGTTTAGATAGACACAGATAGAGACTATTTTTGTCAAATAATAAAAAAGAGAGACATCCAACTTTCAAAATATATATGTAGTAGGTAGTCCAGGATTTTGCACCTTACAAATCCAGTGATAACTTAATAAATTTGAGTTTTAACAGCAGTAAATGTGTAATTCTTATAGTGTTACTATAACAAAAAGCCAATGTTTTCATTAAAGAATAAAGATAAAAACTAATCTGTGTTTCAGCTCCAAGGTAAGTTCTCCCTGCATCCGATCCTCCATGACACACCTCATTCCCCGTCCCCGGAGGGGGAGGCAGGTCAGGGAGCGTAGGCTGATGGTGAAGGTGTCGGTGGTACAAGGGGACAGGGATCTTCTGCCATTGGCTGTCTAGCACCAATATACTGTGCATGCTGATGTCAAATTTGCACCAAATTCACATTAGTCATCAGGAGCTCTCTAAAGTCACCCCAATGACGCAGCAGGGGGGTTAAACTCTGTACAGCTTTCATAGTGAAAATGAAAATGGAGACAGTATGGCGGCTGTATAGGAATTATAATTGCTTAATGCAACTCCTGAAACATAAATATTTCATATGTAGATTTTTATTATTTTTTTAAATCAATTTCCATGCTCGTTTTCTCAGTTTAGTAAGAACATTTGCCCAATCAGTAATTCTGTTATTTGAACGAGTGATCCTTCTTACTGCATAAATCTTCGCCAAACATCGCTAATTTTGTGGTTTCTAGGCATTACTTATACACTGATGTTTTCTGCAGAAACAAACTATTTCAAGATTTGTTCAGAATGAGAAACATTAATGGTTAAGCACAATCTTGAGGGGCCCTCAGGCCTAAGATTTTACATTTTAATTAGTTACTTACAACAAACAGGCTGCGGGTTTTAGCACTCCAGAGTGTCTTGCTTCCTTACTGCTAATCCTGCCTGCTCAGCGTTTTACCCCATCTCAATCCCCAAGAAGATATAACACGAAGTTAATGATATGCCCCTGACCTCCTCTTACCTGATTGCACTGACAAGGCAGAAAGGCAATATGTTCATGTCCACAATAGGACAGACTGGATTGAAAGTCTGTTTTATAGCATCTGTTAAAGTATGGTTTGCGTCTCAAAACTAATTACCTAGCATACACAGTATGGTTTTTTTTGTTTTGTTTTTCAATTTCTGGTTCTCTGGCAGTCATTGTATTTTTTTTATGAAAAGAACATCTTTATATTCACCATACAGAAGACTCAAATTGTGATAGAAGTATTTTTGATTTCCAATTTCGGAGGGTTTTTACCTTTGTCTGCAGTTTTTTTCCAGGATTTTTTAGTTGAATGTATTGTCCTTAAAGATCTTTGAATTTAGTCTGAAGCTTTTTTTAATCCAGTGGTTAGTAGTTATCTATTGATAAATATCTATCAAAAAAATCTATAGATATGGATATCAGATTTGATAAAAATCATGGAAGGATCCTGTATAAAAACAATGAAAACTCAATTTTACATAATAGATGTACTTGATACAATTCTGAATATGCTGGCAACTGCTTTGACCTTGCCAAAGATAAAAAAAAAGAAAATCTGATCAGAACTACCATGGTCGCAGGGGTCGCAAATGCGACGTGCCCGTCACTGCAGTGGGCCCCGACTGCCCTGTCGACCCCTGTGACCGTGGACCACCCACATCACTTCAGGGCTGGTGCACAGCGCAAACAGCCCAGGGCCCGGTCGCCTGTATCACTGTGGGTAGCGTGGCAGAGTGGATGCACCGTCTGACAGGAGGTGTTCACTGAGTGCCTACTCCTGGCAGACTGGGAACCGCGTGCGCCGAGAAGGTAAGAAGGGAGGGGGAAAGAATCATGGAGGGGGAGGGGAGCATCATGGAGGGGCGAGAGCATGATGAAGGAGGGGCATCATGGAGGGGCTGGGGATCATGGAGGGGCAGGGAAGGTGGGACAGCATGATGGAGGGGCTGGGAAGGGGGGAGAGTATCATGGAGGGGCAGGGGAGGGGGGAGAGCATGATAGAGGGGAGGGGGAAAGGGGAGAGCATGATGGA